CATTATCTGGAAATGGTAATTTTTGATGAATATCACAACTAATAAATGTAATATTATTTTCATTGGAATTTTTCATGGTAGAATCAATTGCATAGAACTTTGAATTTGGATATTCAGCAGCAACCTAATATGTTAATCAAAATTAGTAACTATCGATATTTAAAAAGTTACCAAGTTCATAAAATGGCAAAATGGCAATAAAGTTAAATACTTCGGTGGTCCAAACGCCAGTCCCACAACTTTTTTGTGAATTTTTTATAAATTAACAATTTAAGTTATTAAACTTTTAAACTAATAATAATAATATCAAATATAAACAAGAATTTATTTTACCCAAATTCCAATACTTTAGCATCAGTTCGCAACTTTTCATGAACTGGAGCACCTATACTGCCATTAAACGAGTGTTCAAGAGTTTGGTGTATGTAAAAGTTAATATTTTCAAATTCATCTTGATCCTCGACTAAATGTTCCATCGTTAAAATTTTAATTTTTTATAAGTCGATGGCATTTTATATACTTAAACTCGAAGTGATTACAATCATGTGTGAACAAAATGGTATACCAAATAAAATAATTAATATGGTTCCAAAAAAGTGCATAAATCAATCAGTTCTTTTTAGATGAGGTTATCCATAGAACACCCTTTTTATGTTATTAATCGAGAATTTACATGTTATTTTGGCGATGCCTTAATTTTAAACTCTGTAGGAAAATAGTCACCGGGTCGATTATTTCTCTCGGATTTTTTTTCTTCAGCTCCTATCAGAGCCGAAAATCCGTGAAGCAGAGAATTCTCGCAGCGGCGAGAATAATAAGTAAATCTTCAGTCATTTGAGGGTCCGAAGTCTCCTATCAAGGACCTGTAAAAAATTTTTTTGTGTTATACGAAATCTTTATTTACATTATTGCAAAAGTTTGTATTATTTTGTAATAATAAATAACTTTATATTAATTTGCAAAATTTTGTTCTGACTAGAGGTGCAGACATTTAAAATTTGGAGATAACTACCCCAGCAAAAATATCATTGCGATACATGCCATATAGATGCCATATGAATATCGTATGCCGTCACTCACCTTTTAATTTAGTGGGCGAGTATAAAGATGATCTATTAATCGGTGGATTAAAAAAGTGCATCAAGTTTACAAATACTTATTTACTACTAACTAATACTCTTTAACGATATAATAATATTTGACGATGATTAAAAATGGTAACCTAATACGCAAAATTATACATTGTAATAAAGACAACACGTTTAAGGTATGATGTTTGACATGTGATCCCAACAAGCAAAAATGAGAATATTAATGATTGCATCCAGAACCATGGGAATGCAACTGGACGGATTTCATTCAATAAATTGCCGATAAGCGCGAAATAACGCTCGCGGACGTTTTTTTTTGAAAATCGGGTCCTTAAAAATAACTTATATGTTCTCACATGGGCGTCCTGAATTAACGCGCATCCTAATGTAACACAATTTACTGTTGCGATAAATGATATACAGCGTGACCATCGGTTGGGAGAGCAATTGCGGATGTTAATCCAATTTAGCTCCGATGGTTAACTTATGTCAAGATTCATAACACTTGTACACGTGATATGATGTCACGAAACACTTAAGCTGGGTCGGGGTTATCACTTAATAGGTTGACTTTAATTATTCGGGGGTAATTTATTATGTAACGATAATATAAGAAATGCAAGATAATAATAATAATAAAAGAATAAAATTAAACTAATAAAACAATACATCAATACAACATATGTGAGAATCCGATTCTTATTATAAACTATATAATCAAGACATCGTAGTCTCTATCGTAGTCCTGTGCTGAAAATTCGGCACAAATATGTTGTGCAAAAATTTTTTGTTATTCATGAATGTTATTCTATTTTTTGTGC